CCAGCTGAGGTTTGAGGCAGGGATAAAAGTGAAAGGTATTCCAAGTGAGTTGTGAGTGCCAGCAAAGCTCAGATCACTTTATTGTTTAAGTCTATATAAATTGACAGTGATGGCCTTCTTGCCTGAGGTTTTTTCTAACACAGGTAATGCCGACTTTCAGGAAATAAAAATACTGACTCACCATAGCTAATAAATTGTCAAGTATGTTTAAAATACTAAGAAGGCAAAGTTTATCTTCAAGATTAAACTGCATTCGTGGGGAAAAAAAAAAAAAAAAAACACAAAAAAACAACTTTGTGTGACTTTCAGTGATGAATGGATTGAAGGGTTCAATTGAGCTTTGCAGCTTAGAAACTAAAAAGTAGTTTACTGTGACCCGTGCGGAACTTCCTTCTTCAAAGGAAAACTTCAAGATGCAGAACCGTTCAGTAATAGTTTTGTGCACGTATCTGACATGTGATTGGCCTTTAGATGGCAGTTAGCACCATGCTGGATGGTCAACACTCAAGACGGCTTGATTGAAATCATTCCCGTGTCTTAATGGCATTTTTCTTCAGCTTTCAGGTAAAGCTCACCAAAGGCCACAATGGAACGGTTTGGAGTGAAGTCCACTCCGTCACGTAACCGCTCGAAGACTGCTTTGTATGTAACTCCTCAGGATCGGGTAACTGAGTTTGGCAGCGAGCTGCATGAAGACGGCGGAAAACTCTTCTGCACTTCCTGCAACGTGGTTCTGAATCACGTCCGCAAATCGGCAATCAATGACCACCTCAAGTCCAAAACACACACAAAGCGGAAGGCGGAGTTTGAAGAGCAGAACGTCAGGAAGAAGCAGAGGACTCTGACTGCCTCCCTGCAGTGCAACAGCACTGCTCAGACAGAGAAAACCAACGTCATCCAGGACTTTGTGAAAATGTGCCTGGAAGCTAATATTCCTCTTGAGAAGGCCGATCATCCTTCTGTGCGAGCCTTCCTGTCTCGCTATGTCAAGAACGGAAGTTCGATACCTAAGTCAGAGCAGCTAAGGAAAGCGTACCTGCCCGACGGGTACGACAATGAGAACCAACTCATCAATACTGAAGATCGCTGAGAAGACTGTTTTAATCATCGTTGTGAAGTTTTACATATTGATGGTGTGGTTTATTTTTATATTCATGCATATATACAGTGTTACATATTGGTTTTGCAAGCTATTTTGTATTGTAGAAATGACAATCTATTTGTGAACTAAGTGGTACGCCGGAGACTGTCGCTAACCCTGCTGTAGACTCGAGAGCTGCTTTGATGTAGGACTCGCACTGAGTGCAGGGAACATGCCTGGCGTACGTCCTGTCTGTGTTCAGTCCAGCTGTAACTGACGCTAAGAAAAAGGCACTTGGGTGGAGAACGTCCCTTACCTTAACTGTGCATCTGAATACAGGAGGAAGAGGATGCAGTAGGAATTGTTCATTGCGTCACTGGATTGCTTTGTCCAGAATCTTCTCCGTGAGTGACCAAGAAGTCTGCACGTTAAAAATGGAAGAGGCTGTAAAATGGTTAGTTAACATAAGTGATCTGTTGGGGAGGATGATTGCAATTTCCTAGTCAAGTTGGCTTATGTTTTAAACGAAGAGACATTTTTCTTCTAGAATAATTCTATTTGATGCAACTGTGGATGCACTCATTACTCATTAAATAGGTGGCCTTTTGTACCACCCTTTGAACTCCACTGCCAAAAGTTCTGAAGATTTGCCACGTGTGGTTTTTTAAATCTCCACATCCTTTTCTTGGTTTACTATGTTCCCTCCAGTTTCAGTGCCAAACTTTGAAAGCTAAGTGAACGAACTAATAACTACGTGTGGTTTACAGCACAGCTGCTAGCAAACAAATCTTACACTGGACCAAGATCATAGTAGTAGGGGGAATGAATGCCTGTTTTGTACAGCAAGATAAAAGATGCTGAATTTAAACTGGGGGTGACGGAGGAACAAAATAGTGGAGTTGATCATGCTTCTCACAGTGTGCAGGGGAAGAGGCTTCTCCGTCTCTCCCTGCAGGTCCTTTACTTCTCGCCTCAGCCTTTTAGTGAAAGGAGGTAAAATGATTAAAATAGTTTTCAAAATAGTTGCTGTAAAGGCTATTCAATATTTGTAACAGCTAGGAAAGCCTGTATACTTTGAAGCTGTAATGGAATTACACACCTGAGGTGTATTTCTTATTCTGTGCCACGATGCCACTTGTTGAACTGACAAAAATTTAAACATGAGTTAAAGAAGCTCAGTAATGTTGCTGTCTCCCAAATCTAGTAAACTGTTACTAAGCTAATCCAAATTACTATGCCAAATAGTCAATTTGATGCAAGTGCTTGCTCTGCAATGTTTTTAATGGAATGGTGGAGCATAGTAAAAAGAGCTTGATTTTCTTTAGATCTCTGAATTTAAGGAGATGTCAAGCATTTTCTAAGTTGCATAGAAATGCTCTGCTCAGTGGATATAGTGATGCAAGCATGCTTTAACTCCCTCACGTGGAGCCAGTTTTCCCTTCATCTTCCTTTCCCTGTAAAGTTTGACAATAGCACGTTATTTCTTTCATTCAGGATATTTACAGCAATACTACGTATTTGCTAAAAGACACTAAGTAACCAACTTACTTTGTTTCTGTGGCTAATTTCTAGAGGAGAGTCTCTTTTGCTGGATTAAAAGAGATTTACATACTTGGTAACAACTGCTTTTTTGTACAATTCCTGCAGAAATGCAATTAGTGTTACAACAGTGTCTTCGAGCCTTCTGCTAGGGGAAGTGCTTGAGTAAATGGAAAAAAATGAAAAGCAGAAGGCAAGTGCCAGTACGTGGATACTCAGTACAGTGCTGCACCATTGGTCCCTGTTGAAGCTAGTGGGATTTCATGCAGTTGTAGCAGTCCTGTCAATGATATTAACTGCTGGTGTAGGACTTCAGACAAATAACATAATAATGGTTTGGTTTTGTTTTCCTCTAATCCTGTATATCAAAATTTGCCTTCCCAAATATCATTTGCTATTGCAAGAGCTTGGGTTTTGCTTAAGCTCATAAACTGCCTTGGGCTAGAACTGTTTTATAAATCTTCTAAAGCCAAGTAAAAGGTACACTGCCAAGAGCCTTTTCTGTCCTGATCATAATAGAATGTGGATTTGTTTGTTTGTTTGTTTGTCATGGTTTTTCAGAGTGCTTGTTTTTTTGTTTTACAGCTGCTGTCTCATTGCAGTGAAATGAAAAAACAAACATATGGTAATATTAAGTATACTCTTCCACAGCAAAACAAAGAGAAAACCTTAAAAATGAAAGTTAGTGATAGCTACAGCTTTTGTTTAGCAGCAGTCACTCATTCATTAAGGCAATGTTATGTCACCCAGTTTATCAAAAGGTTACTTTCTACTTAAGAAGCAGTCTGTAAATTTAGGCTCTTTGCACAGAATTAATACAATTCTGTGACTTTTGTATCTAAAGTATCTAATATCAATTTATTTTTAATGCAGAATTACTGTGGAGGGTATGAGCCTAGTGAGGATCCCTTTCAGTGTAAACTGTAACAGACTTATAACAAAAGGTTGACCATCAGGATTTTGAATGGAACTGGCTGAATTCCAACGCACAGCAATCTGTAAGAGGATTCTTATAACTTAAAAAAAAGTTTTTTGAAACTTTATGAAATCAACATTGCAACAGATACTTACAGCAAGTTAAAACAATGGAAAAATAAAGCACTTCCAGGTACCTAGAAAGAATAATAAGTTTGTATTCATGGACATAGCCCAAATCACAAACAAGACATTTACAATTGTTTTCTTTTGAAATGAAATTGGTTCCACTAAGTCTTGGAGTCAAGTCCTGCAAGCAGTCAAGTTTGTACCATAATTTTGCTGTTGTGGCTATAGCTGGACAAAAATAACCTTGTTTTTAATTACTATTGATTTTAAGGAAGATTTACAGCAGAGATTTCCTGGTATTTCTAAAACTAAGTAATAACAAATTCCTGGAACAGGGGCTGTGGTTGTGTTGTTTAACAGTCTCCATGGGGTTTTTTGTTTGTTTTGTTTGTTTTTTCTGCAGGAACACTGCATTTTTTAGTAATATATTTGAAATTACATGTAATTTCAAAAAGAATGTACATGTACATGTGTGTACATTAGCTTAGCCAATTCACAGCTAAAATGACTCTGAAATGCATTTTTTAGAACACTTTCAAAGAGTAAAAATACTGGACAAAAGGAATATTCTCTGTTCTGTGAATTACATATATAAACCATATTAGTTTCAGCTTGCATGTTCTTGAAAAACTTGAGTTCTAAAATTTTTGAGCTTTTTCAAGCCTTTAATTTGGCAGGTCCTTACAGGGAATGAAACAGGATATAATGAAAAGGAAAGTGGTTTTTCAACTGAGAGAGAAACTTGGTTCTGCAAAGTATGGGATATTCTCATGATAGAAGGACTATTTTTAGTTAGAGCCCTTTTTAATCAATTCTGTTGAACTGAACGGTGATGTGCTCCCCACTGAGTTTTGCAGCACCATAAGGGTTTTGGGGAGGAGAAAAAAAAAAAAGCTGGAAGTTTGGTAAGGGTTATCTCCATTGGTATTTACATATGAAGAGAGGCAAGACTCACCACTGTTGTGTTCACACTGTACTCACTGCGAACTTCTTGTGTAATTTGAGTGCTTGTTGTCTTTGTACAATTTTAAGATTGTATCTAACTTTCAAAATAAATTTTTTTAAAACAAAGATTCTCGTTGTAAATAACGCTGTTAGTCTTCAGTTGTTTTATCAGTAAGAATGTTTTGCTTCTGGTAAATGGTCACAGAACTATTTTCAGTGAGACGACAAAATGACGATCAGATGCTGGAGTGAGGCTGAGTCTACCTGGCTTCAGTTTCCTGCAGTGCCACAGGATTTCCTGTTAGAACAGTAAGACCACAAGAAGTTTTTATATTAAAATACTGTTGGAAGAGAAATACTTTACTTTGTCAAGTTTTCACTTGGTAATGGAAAAAAATTATCCTTTTTTTTAAAAATAAAGGAACTCCTTTTTCATAGAATTTATGCATTATCTCTTATTTCAGCAAGAAAATAAAGAAGTGGCAGTTGAAGTATAACATTAACGCAAAGCAATGAAAATGGATGGTGACAGAAAAAAATGTGAGGTGGAGCAGTGACATAGGCAACCCTTCAAGTAATATCACCGTATCTTGAAGTTATTTGACTGTTGGAAGAACTATACAATCCCAATGAAGTACGTTTCAAGACTATACTGAATTTCTGTTGCCAGTCAAGTATTGTGACTTCCCATTGCGTCAGAAAGTCCTTGATCGTGCCTTCAGTTGCAAGTGAATGCTGACCAAAATAATTCTTGTGCATTTTGATGCTGCAGAAAGCAATCTGTAGATGTAGGGTCATGTAGTTGCCTAATGCTTCAGATCTTTTCAGGAAGGGCTTCCGTAACCTGAAAGAATCCTTTTCTTCCAATCTGCAAAAAGGTCAAAAATAGATCCTTGTCTCCTTTATGGATTGCATGAAATTCAAGCAATAACATTCACCTGTCAAGATAATCCAGTGTACATTTGAATATTTTCAAGTTCCTTTTCCCAAGTCCTTGTCTCTTGGCATCTCATGATGGATCAATGATAAACTGCTGTTGCAGCCTCTTGATTTATGAATTTATTAATCAAGAATTTCTTACTCTTAGCCATGTTCAGGCATCACCTCTCTAAGTCAGGTTGCTTTTTTTACCCTCGTATCAAATGGGAAAGCACAAAAGAAAGAAACATACCGCTTGGTAAAGTTTTCTTCCTGGGACATTCCTCTGTGGAAGAAGGTTATGTATATATGCAATAGGAAAACATCAGTAGGAATCTGTATGGAAGCTGTTGCAGAATCAGGTGGGGTGTGTATTTAAAGTTTAATAATGCAGCTACTCTAAATTCTTATGATGACATCTTAACTTCCTAAGTTAGTCACAGGGTGTAAAGCCACATCCAAGCTGCAGTAGGATTAAGAGTACAGCAACTGCTTTCAGGCCACATTTATGCTGTTAATTAGGTCTGGCATTTGGAAATGACTTAGGCTGGACAGCAGAGACTGGATGATGAACAGTCTGTGGAAGTTCTGCTTAGGTCAATTAAGGAAGTTTTTCTGTTCATTCTCAACTTTCCTCAGTCCACAGAGAATTTCTAATTTGTGGGCCTTCTAGTGGTAGAAATCTGCTTCTTTCATCTTCAAAAGCAGATAGTACATCCCAGAAGTAAAACATGCAGACTGAGATAAGATACAGAGAGCTACAGCAACTGTCCCCTGGCCTTGACCAATTGCAAGTGTTGTATATCGAGTGCAAAATAGAAAAAGTATAAAATAAACAATTCCTGAATATCTATTTCAGCCTTTTTTCCCTTTGAGATAAGCTGTTAAGCCTCCCATTTCTATGGCTCACTGTAAGCTTCAGAAAACGAAAAATTCGAAGGTCTAGTCTTGTAAAACAGCATTTGGTTAGAAGATTTCTGCTAGAGCTGGAGGAGGACATAAGATCACAGGTGTGCAAAGTTTGTCTTCAACTGAACCCCAAACAAGTACAGGCAATTTATATTCATGATTTAGAGGCACCCTCTCTAGCTCAGTAGGGCACAGGGAGAGGACATTAAAACTGAGGATTAAGTGCAGTGAAATGATCAGTACTCTCATATCATCATGTGCTCCATGAGCAAACTAAACTAAGAGCACACATTCATTAGGAAGTTCCTACTTCCACTTTAGATACTTTCTCTCTTGTCCGTTCTTTCTCTTCAGTGAGAACCACTGTGTCCCTGAGGAAAGTAAATAATCTTTTTCTTTTTTTACTTTTTTTCTTTTTTTCTCTTTTATTTTTTCAGTTCATTAGTGGAGTACTCTATAGCAATGCAGAAGAGAGATAGGGTACATTCAACAATTCTGTTCAAAGCTGAAGAAAAAAAATAATTGTAAGCTTCTGAGGCTAAGATTTTCTTATAAATTGGTTTGTCTCAAGCATTTTTCTTTCTGTCCTTTAGGGTAAAAAAACAGCTCCCATATTCAGTATTAGATTTCACTACAGTAAATGAGACCTCCTTACCTTAATCTTCTGTAATTAGCCTTAAATTGCTTCCTCCCTCCCCTTATCTCTGAAGCCAATCATTGCCATAAAACGAATCAAATAATTAGAATAGCCACTTTGCTAAGTGCTTATACGCAGTAAAATCCTGAGCAGGCTTTTAACCTACATTTCGTTGCACTTACAGGCCCATATTCATTCTGCACTTCAGATGCAAGATACATGCTGGTGGATTTATCGAGACTCAGCTCTTCTGATTAAACTGAAATTGCTTAGGAAAAGTAGGGAGATGCAGAGAACTTCACTGTGATAAAGGAAAGAGCTTGCACAGACAAGAAGTAACTGACTCTTCCTTTAGCAGTGAGTTACAGTAATACAAGATGGGAACAGGCCACAGGACCACCCCATAGTCCATGGGACAGCACACTTTGCAAGGTGTATGATCACAACTGACAGGCAAGCCTCTGGAGGAGAGATGTTTGCCGAGAGACTAGATTATTCAATAAATTCAAGTCAATAAAGCTACACATAGTGTTAGGAGGGTAATTTTCAGCAGACTTGAGCCCATCACCTCCCACCTTAATGCAGTTAGAGGCCAATGCCTAAGAACTTGGAAACAGGGAAAACACAGTCCTCAAAACACACAGCTTTGTCTTGTCATTAGAAAGAAACTGGGACAGAACAGAAGGAGCATTACATAAATATTTCCCTCATTTATGTCCATCAAAGTTAACAGTAGTCATATGATGATCATAGAATCATCAAGGTTGGAAAAGGCCACTAACATCACCTAGCCCATCACCACCATGCCCATTAGCCAATGTCCGTCAGTGTCACATTGACCCTTGCACACCTCCAGAGACAGTAATCCCACCATCTTCCTGGGCAGCTTGTTGCATTGCTTCATCCTTCTTTCAGACAAGAAAATTTTCTTAATACCCAACCTGAATGTCCCCCAGCACAACATAAGGCCATTCCATCTTGTCCTATTGCTCTCACTCAGGAGAAGAGGCTGACCCCCACCTCATCGCAACCTTCTTTCAGGATGTCATAGAGAGTGATAAGGTCTCTTTGAGCCTTCTCCAGGGACTGACCTAACTTTATTCCAATACTTTTGGAACCTCTTCCTTAAAATATTTCCCAACACACCAGATTATGCTAGTTGTTGCTTTTGAACTCTTAGTTCTTTAAAGAATTGGTATCGGCAAGGATTCAGCCTGATTTGCACGTAGCAAAGAAGCTACTACACTGCATATAGTAGAAGTCAGTGCCATCTAGTGACATCTCTTTTTTGTCACCTTCAAACACTCTCAAGCCTAAACTAAATGTGTAAGGACTTGAACAGATGCATAACTGTCAGTTTAGGACTGTGCCTTCCTTCTTTGGTAAATAGTTATTTTATATTTAAATACATTAATAGTTGTATTCATGTTTACTTTTATTCTTATATTTAAGTTCCAGTTATTTTACATTTACTTGAAGTGCTTTATATACAGCAAAATCTTTAAAACATTTTTAAAACAGAACACTGTGTTTTAGTGTCTCAAACTCAGGGACAGATTTTTGTTTATTTGTAAGCTAGGATGTAAGTTACCATTTAAGATCTTAAAAGAATATATAACAAACAAATAGAACCAACAGAGGAGAATCTCAATCCCTCTGAAGGGCTTCCCTACCCTCTGGCAGATTAACGCTCCCTCCCAACTTGCTGTCATCTGCAAACTTACTGAGGTTACACTCAATCCCCTTGTCAAGATCATTAATAAAAATGTTAAATAGAAGTGGCCTCAGTGCCAAGCACTGAGGGACACCGCTCGTGACTAGCTGCCAACTGGATTTAACTCCACTGACCAAAACTCTGGTGTTTTACCCAGCTGAGCATACATCCATCCAAACTGTGGGCAGCCAGCTTTTCCACAAGGATGTTGTGGGGGCAGTGTCAAAGGCTTTACTGAAGTCCGGGTAGACCACACCGAGAGCCTTACCTTCATCCACTAAGCGGGTCACCCTGTCACAGAACGAAATCAGGTTTATCAAAAAGGATCCACCATTCATAAACCCACGCTGACTGGGCCTGATCCCCTGGCTGACCTTTAGTTAATCCATGATGACTCCTGCAATTATCTGTTCCATAATCTTCCCCGGCACTGAGGTGAGACTGATATGTCTGTAGCTACCAGGATCATCTTGCCAGCCCGTTTTGAAGATGGGTGTTATATCTGCCAGATTCTAGTCCACCAGAACATTTCCAGGTAGCCAGGATGGCTGAAGGATGATGGAGAGTGGCTTGACAACAACATCCCCAACTCCCACATCATTCTAGGGTACAACCCTTCGGGTCCCATGGACTTGTGAGCATCCAGCTTTCAAAGCAGGCCCAAAACCATCTCATCGTGGATTATGCAGGGCCTATTCTTCTCCCCATCCCTTTATATAATACTTGCAGATGGCAGCTCCTATCTTAAGTTCAAACATTTTCACAAAGTTACCAACAAGAAACTGTGAGTTTAGAAAGCTAATATCAAAATGTCATAGAGAACAGTCAAAGGTTTGACTTTTTGTTAAACTAAGTAAGGAAGAAAAGACTATGTCCAAACCAGTTGCCAGTCTTCCCTTCACCTTGCTTGGAATGACCTCATAACATTCTCACTTTTTGAGGAAGTCAAGGAAGCTCCTCAAAATTGTTATAAAATCATAGAATCTCCAAGGCTGGAAAAGTCTTTGAGATCATGTAGTCTGACCATCCGCCTACCACCAGTATTTCCCACTAACCCATGTCCCTCAGTACCATATCTATACATTCCTCAAACACATTCAGGGATGGTGACTCCACCATCTCCCTGGGCAGCCCATTCCAGTGCCTGACCCCTCTCTCAGAGAAGCAGTATTTCCTAATGTCCAACAATATAAACAATGTAATGAGGGATGTGATCACATGCACCAGTTATCTAAAGCACAATTGATCCCTCCCTCTCCCCCCACCAAAAAAAAAAAAAAAATTTTTTTTTTTTTTTTTTTTTTTTTTTTTTACATGAGTCAAAGGACATTAGAAACGCTTTAGGGTTTTGTAATAAGACGATGATATTGACCACAGTAACAAAACCCCTCCCCATTTCCCAAGGTCCTTCCTTGTGCTCATCAAATCAGGAGGAACAAACAAATGAAATTTAAACTCTATTTACCTATTTTTGAGTGATCGTTTTCTCTCTCATTGTTTTGCTCTCTCACTAAAATTTCGGTTTTATATAGAAGATACAAAGATTATGTATTAACAACTAATATAGCACAAGTTCTTGGCATAAACTTTAGGCAACACAACATTAGCACAAGCAGAAATTAAAGCGCTCGGAGCACATCCCTTTAACGATCAGTTTTACTGTCTATGCTGGCTATGGACTCCGCCACTAGGTGTCTTCACAACTCAGAATTACAACTTGCAGTCCCAGTATTTTGTCTTCAGTGGAAGTTTGGTATGTGGGTGGATAGTTAGACTCCAACAGTTTTCTTTCTTAACTGTTCTCCAGTTATGCTGGTTTACAGTATTTGTAAGGCCATATCCTTACAAACATCTCTATGATACTCCCAATCTTATGAACTGTGCAAGGCTCTTCTAACAGTTAAATTTTGGAAAGCTATTCCATTATTTTCTCCAAAATATCACTTAGATTTTTGCTAAAGTATAACATACCCCTCTACTCTGCTCCCATGAAACCCCAGCTGGAGTACTGTGCCTAGTTCTGACACCCCCAGCACAAGAAAGACACGGAGCTGTTGGAGTGGGTGCAGAGGAGGATCACAAGGAAGATCAGAGGACTGGAGCACCTCCCCTACAAGGACAGACTGAGAGAGCTGGGGCTCTTTAGCCTGGAGAAACAACAGCTCCAAGACGACCTTATAGCGGCCTTCCAGCACCTGATGGGGGCCTACAGAAAAGCTGGGGAGAGACTATTTTTTTAAGTGCATGTAGCAACAGTACAAGGGGAAATTACTTTAAACTTGAAGAGGGTAGATTTAGACTAGATATTAGGAAGAAATTCTTTGCTGTGAGGGTGGTGAGATGCTGGAACAGTTTGCCCAGTGGGCTGTGAACACTCCCTCCCTGGAGGCATTTAAGGACAGGCTGGATGGGGCTTTGAGCAACCTGGTCTAGTGGGAGGGAGGGCTGGAATGAGGTGATCTCAAAGGTCAGTTCCAAACCAAATCATTCTATGATAAACACATTTTAAGATAGAATTTCATAACTGCATTTTTTTCTTTCCTGGTTTCTATCTGTAACTGTTGTATTTGCATTATAAGCAAAAGTGATAGCTGCTCTGCACAAAATTCCTGTTTAGTTTGCTTCTACTTTTATGAAGTATCTCTCCATCTGTTAGGATTTTTGAGGAGCAGATATTTTTGAAACATTCAAAGAGCAAAAAAAAAAAAAAAAAAAAAAAAAAAAAGTAATATGTACTTTAAAAGAGTAGCCCAAATCCAAATCTAGATTTCTTGTCTCTATGTCACAAGAAGGCTAAGATTTGGAATTGAGCAAACTACTGTGAATTAATGAAAATTGCAACAGATCTTTATCTAACAGCCTGCAAACCGCTGATTTGTTTGGCTTCCTAATTTTAATCTTCTATGTAACTAAGGTTGATTATCATAACACATAAAAACTAAGCAATTTTAAAATACTATTTTACATTCTTTTCTTGGCATACTGCTGCTTGTAAAATCAAAATCTCAAATGCAGAAGAATCTTACTCAAAACAATGTGCAGCTCTATTGCAAAGTAAAATATGTTTTACTCTGAATTACAGAGCAGTTCTGACATATCACAAAACAATCAAGCAGTTCACATTTCAGCTACAATGAAGCTATGGCATAACCTTCCATGTTTTTGCATAATACTTTGCTTCCCTGCCCCTTTTCTCAGTGTTATCTTAACAGAAGAACTAGAAAAGGAAATCAGTTCAGATATGTCTCTGTGTGAACCTAACAGGATGCAAGAGGCCATCTGAGCTGCACTTTTCAAACCCACAGGAACCCCTCCTCTACCATGTCCTGAGAACAAAGCCTCCTCCAGTCATGTTGATAAGATGGATCTTGTTGTGCAGCCTTTTAGTAAGGCTGGCTCAGAGCAACAATCAGGATTCTGGTAAGTTGTGGTTTTATTATTTATTGTATGTTTGAACACTGAAAGGGAGAAAAAAAAAAAAAAAAAGAAAAAAAAACAGAAACCAATTCCTAGTGTACCTTATAAATAACTTATGTCTTATTTTATTACTATGTCTGACACTCCTAAAGTAATTAAATAGGATAATTCTGGCAACAATTGAGAAATATTAGGTACCTGGTCTAGCACCTGAGGACCAAACGCATCTTTGTCTGTGGGCTCTGCCCTCAAGCGGGGTGACAGTACTCAAAGCCTCTGCTTGAAATCTAGGATTTCTACCAGCTACAACCTGGTTTGCAGTCGGATTGTCCTTACTGCATAAATACATGCATCTTTCTTCATTTAGCTTATTTCAGCACTAGTTTTCAGCCTGTTTTCAATTTAGAACCCCCAGAGTTTTTAAACAGAGAAGCCCTCCTAGTTCAAAATGATGCGAGCACAATGTGCTGAATCCACCCGTACTATTAATTTTACTGCAGACTTTATTTTGGTTCTTAGATCTTCCATGCTGTTCTCATCCAGGAGACATAAATGTTGTTATTGAAAGGAAGGTAGTCTTACATTAAGGGTAATAGCTATGGGAGTGGATGTTCTCATCTGCTCTCAGTATATTTCAGGTATTTCAAACAACACATTTATCCAAATAACACTTGTTACAAGGCATCGCTAAAATAACAAATTCAATATGGGCTATGTGAAGCTTACTTGACATGAATGACCAATTCTGCAGATCTATAACATCAGACAATGTTTTTACGAACAAAATACATACAGGAAAGGTTTAGTGATTATTCAGAGTACCCTGAAAGGGAGACTCAAATACTTGGCTTAGAATACATGAATCATCAGGTCAATTAGATGCAGCTGTTTCTTAATTGGAATGTTATCTGAGCTCAGCCAGGCTACCAAATTTCTTCAGTCATTTGAAAATCAAACATAAACAACTTCTGAAGGGAAGTATCCAGCAACAACCTTTTTCATATTCAGCAAAAGTCCTCTCAGCTTGTAAGAGATAACTACTACTTCTGCTCACTTCATTATGACTGCCTGAGCTATCAGGTTCTCACAGACACCTTCCTCCACTGTCCATCTCATTATTATGTGTATGAACCCCAAGACTCATCTGCCAGGTTCATAGATAATGTTTTTAAAACTAATTTTATTGCACTTCTTACTGCACGAATCCTGTTTACATAGAATCTATTTCACCAGGTTATTCTTTGATCTACACCAAAATTATGTGGGAGACTCTGAGAGCAATACTGTTTCCTTCTACAATCTTACATTACTATATAGTATCGGAATCATTTTTACAAAAGCATTACAGGCAGAAGTCTTTGAACACTAGTCCCTACAGAATCTTGATTTTTTTTTTTTTAATGTATTTACATTTTAGACAAGTTTTCCAAGCTTGTTCAACTTTTTTTTTTAAAGATGAAAGTTGAAGGCAAGTTATTTAAGCTTTGCTTGCTGCCAATCTATCTAAACTTTCCTAAACTCCTAACAGAAGTTGACGCTGACAGATTTTGTATACCAAGTTAATGGCAAACAAATCTTTGCTAAATTAGAGAAGAGGTAAACACAAGTTTTTTGATAAGTTTACATATGGACCTTCTCTTCTCTACAGCCCCAGTAATTTCAGCTCAGTCAAACCCCGGCTCTTTTGAAACATGACAACATTGGCTATTCCCATCCAGTTGCACTGGCAGTGGTTGTTTATGTCTGGAACATATAAAGTTGATGCAGTATTTCATACTGATCAAAACAAACTAAAACCTAGCAAGGCTTCCACCACCCTGAGAAGCCCAGCCAGTCTCTGCAAGCAAATTCACTGGTCCTAAAACATCACCTTTGCTGTTAGCCCTCCCTGCAGGACAGCTGGCACATTCTAACATTTCAGCTATACTGAAATTTGCCATCTTTAAGTTTCAGTCATTGAAACATAAAGACATATTCTCTGCTCTTACATCACATAACAACTTTCATCAAGGAACTGTTTTGGATAAATAAATAAAGATGCAGTTCTGACAGCTGCCTTGGCACACAGGTCAGCTTCACAAATGTTATCACCACTAAGAAAAGGAAACATTCACAAAATTGAGTGGCTCTTTACTGTTTGCAAAGCAAATATAAAAAGTAAATGGCTGTATTTAGAACATGGGGAAAAATTAGCAAAAAGGGCCAAAACTAAGTTTCTATTAGCTAAATGACAAATTCATTTTAAATATATCATAGGTTTTTTTTTCTTGTTGTGTTTTTTTTATTGTTAATTCCTACATATGGCATACTATGTCATCTCTTGGTCCTCTTTAAAAGGGCGAAGAAGAAAACAAGATTTCAATTAGTAATTCTTAATTTACTGGAATTCTTTCAAATTCTTAGATGAGGTGTGAATGACATCTTTTAGAAACAAAAGATTAGAAAGCTCAATTTTTAGCTGTTGTTTTTCTCCAGTGAGTTGAGTTACATAAATAGAAAGGTGTCTTCATTATCCCTGTTGGTTTCGCTTAATAAATAATACCATGACTACTATGTCATCCCCATGACCATAAGAATAAGTGTTTTTGATAAAATTACAGTATTGTCACACATCTTTCATTAGTATATAAGTTTAGAGCGCACATTATCATGGTTGTTTACTACACAGAAAGTTTTCCTTACCTGTAAAATTAGTTCTAGGCACAGTTGAGCTTGGCTTGCCACAGTCTATCCAGAAGCGCAGTGAAGCGATCCAAAAGAAAATTTGCTGTTATTCAATCTGAACCTTTCTAAGTTCTGTAAGCTTGAAAATGATCTACAGAACTTTCATATTACAGATTCTTTTACCCTCTTAAAAACTGCCCATTCAAATATTCATCATGAACTCCCACATATATAAAACACTGAGAATTTCAGACATGATATCAAACCTTCTAATTGGTTTCAGCTCATAACAGCATTCCAGAAAGAACAATTCAATTACTTTTGGAAATCACATGCAGTCTTTAATGGGAAGATTACAACTCCCTGAGATTGACTTCTCATACCCCATAGCAAGATTACAAAAAAAAAAAAAAAAAAAAAAAAAAAAAAAAAAACAAAACACATTGTCAGGGGAAGAGTATTCAGAGCCACATTTACTCTCATTTACTGAGGTTTATTGAGTGTTTCTTTCTAATAGCAACCAATAAATAGAAAACAAAAGGTTATCTGCTAATTAAATGTTGATTCTCCCTCCTCCCCCACTGCCTGTTAAAGACATCCCTTACAGTCTAAGAAATGTTTTTATACTATTTTTTAAATCCGAGATCTTCACTGAGACCTATTCATTTTCAGTGGTCCTTAGAGCTATACCTAGGAAAGATATTTTAAAGTCCGCATTAAATATCTTATTCCGTATAGAGAGTCCCAAGAATTTTGGTTTTAGACAATTTTTTCCCCACTGCTTTTTATCTACTTAAAGGTTTTTTTGTTTGTTTGGTTTTAATTACATATGGGATGACTCGTGAGAGAGGAAAAGCTAACAGGAGATTTTAGGGCACATTCATTATGAATTCCCACAATTAATTGTTGATGGTGGATTATAAAAAAACTCTTTTGCTATCCTAATTTTTATTGAGCTTCAGAACAATTCCAACTAAGAGTTTTCTAAAGGCTGAATAAGTGTCCTCTTTTCTTTTTAAAGATTCTTTTCTAGAAGATCCAAAAATTTATGACTTACAATATATGTAAAGTACTAGGTTTGTTTCTAGTAAAAGTTTATAAACAAAACCAAATAGCTCAACTATCAAACATTAACAAGTCACAGAAGTACAAAAAAAAAAAAAAAAAAAAAAAGCAAGCAGTTATTTTTATACTCCAATCATTGCTTTGTAACTGAAAGGAAGAAACAGGAAGGAAGGGGGGAAAAAAAAAAAAAAAAAAAAAAAGCAGCAATCTAAAGCCCAATCATCTCACACTTCTAAGAGGAGCCCTTTTATAGGGCAGCCTACAAACTCTTATGTGCACTAAAAATTAACCAGTAGCTTGGTTTTAACAAGTTCAAAAGATTCCTCTTTTACTAACGGGGAAAAAAAAATAATAATAAAAATAAAAAACAACTCAATGAAGTAATAGTGTTTACCTACTATTCACAGGTTGCTTCTAAGGGATTCACAAACATTAACTATGACAACTATATCAATTTACAGTAAACTAAGCCTCTTCTCATAAGAATACTACTACACTGCTCTCAGTCCACTCTCTTTCCATCCCTCTCTCTACTTCAGGTTTTGTCCTTCTAAGGAGGAGGGGAGATGAGGCTTTATTCGCTAGGGTTAATTTGCAGCAGGTTGCCAAACATTTTCACCTGCAGCAGCAGCAGCTGGAAATGAAGACTAAAAATGTTTTACGCAGGTCAGTTTGTGAAAAAAGACAGAAAATTGGATTCAGACCCAGTAGTGGCTGGAAATATTCCTCTGGAAATATAATTTTAACAAATCTGATTATGTTGTAATTACAGTAGTATGAAGAATGCTCACCATCAGATGACGAAGGAACACAGTTTTGGCACATGTTGGCATAGGTATTTGGGGAAAAAAAAAAAAAGGAGGAAATGTTAATCAAGCTAACCCAGCTGAGAAACTGACCAGCATATGTCATTTGAACTCTTGAAAACGTACTATATCAGCAAAAGTAATATGAAGTAGGTTCAATTGCAGTGGAAGATTTTTTTAAAGTCTCATTGTCATGAAGGAAATCCTTTGACAGCAGTGGACTTAGCTCCTTACAACTTAACTGGTGGCAGTGCAAGAGATCATAAGGAGGGAAATTTCTTGTGATATCAATGCAAGAAAATGCATAAGTGATTCCAGTCCCCAGTTAAAGCCAGAAGGTAACTTCAGCCTTTCTGCACAGACAGTAGAAACCTGTTCTCTCTGAGAGGGTCTGCTGCTGAATGTTACTCTACGTTAAGCTGACCAGTGCAAGACAATCATTTTTTCAGAACAAGAAGTAACACTGATAAGACATTTTTGCTTCCAAGATCCCATACCACTAATCTTCATCTGATATTGACAGAATTAAGTACATGGCTGTTGTTATTCAGTCTTTGCATTACCTATCACTTTGCCATAGAAGTTTAGTATTTAGCACTTGTCTTCTTGGACTATCATCTGTCTTTCTACAAAACACCTAATTAATCACGATCATACATAAGTCAAAACCTGTCCCTTAGTGCTTTATAATTTCTGCCAGCTTTCTAATGTGTGTAAATTTAATAGATACCTTCTTTTTCTACAACTGAGTCATTGGTTAAAATCAAAAACTGGACTCAGAACAATTCAATAACCTCTGATACGAATATCCTTTCATTTTTACTTTGTTCTCGTCTAATTATTTAGAGTTTTGCAAGTATTGTATGTGCAACTGTAGCATGTTATCAAAACATATCTAGGCAACAGTTGTCAAAGGCAGTCTCAAAAAATACCACAGAAGTCAAGATATATCATAGATAGAGAGAGAGATAGAGAGATAGATAGAGATAGGGCTGCTTGACTCTTCATGATGCCTGTTACTTGGTCACAGGGGAAAATCAGACAAGTTTACTGTCATTTGTTGCTGATGAATTCATCCAGACTGTTACGTTCTCTTTATCTTCACGAGACTGACAGACAGTTTGGTTATTTGTTTTTTCTATACCCATCAACTGGAAGATAAAGACATACTTAGGATTTCTTTCTCTGGACTTGCAAGCAATCACTCTTCATTATATAAGCACTGTACTATAAGGCAGGGTAGGGAAGTAGGAAGCTCTTGAGTGTCACATACTTTTTATTACTTAGCCAAAGAAATCAAGCACCATAGGAAACAAAAATCTTTATGAAAATGTCAGGACATCAATGATAAGACCCAAACTAAAATTGATATATTGGAGCTTGAACACTGAGTTTAGCAGAACTTTACAAAACTGAAGAAACGGAGATAAGATATACATAATTATTTTCATTATTCCAGTTATGACAAATCAATACCAAACAGAAGTCTTTACTTCCGTGAATTATTAATGATTGTGAAGTAAACAATAACCTGAAATAAATCTAAAAGTAACAGAAAATGTCTGTGACAAGATGACATAGGAAAATATTCTATGCAAATTTTATGTATTTTCTGTCTAAACTACAAATCCAGATTTGATTGGGATATTAACTGATACTCGCATCAGAGGGAGAAAGTCAATTTTAACATTCCTAACATTCCTAAAAATGAAGGAAGCTGTAGTCTTGATTTATCTGCTTTGCCATGGTGAGGCTACATCTGGATTACTGCATCCAGTTCTGGACTCGTCATTTAAGACAGACAGGGATCTTCTTGAGAGAGTCCAGTGAAAGGCCATAAAGAGTATTAGGGGCCTGGAGCATCTCCCTTAAGAAGAAAGGCTGAGAGACTATCCAGCCTGGAGAAGACTGAAAAGGATCTCATCGCTGCTGATAAGTATCTGAAGGGCAGGAGTCAACTGGATGTGGCCAGTCTCTTTCAAAGGTGCCCAGTGGCAGGACAAGGGCAATGGGCACAAAATGGAACACAGAAAGTTCCATACGTACATAAGAAAGAACTTTACTGTGAGGGTGTTGGAGCCCTGACACAGGCTGCCCAGAGACGTTGTCTGGTCTCTTTCTCTGGAGGTATACAAAACCCACCTGGACACTTTCCCGTGCAACCTGCTGTAGGCATCTGCTTTAGCAGAAGGGGTTGGAACCAATGATCTCCAGAGGTCTTTCCATCTCCTAGAAGTCTGTGATTTTGTGATTTTGTTATTGTTTAAAGTGAGTCCCATTGAGTCTCAAAAAGATCTCTATTAAACAAGTGGATTCAATTTACAGGAAAATCCATTCATGATGGATGATGGCTTCTCCCAGCATGTTTTTCTGGTAGCATAGTAACAGTCCAAAATCAGCTGTGTGGGTAATTACCATCTTCATGCTATAGTCCTGTCTCTTGGTAATGGGGAAAGAGAAAAAGAGAAAAATAAAAGGAGGATCTGGAGTTGAAAAGCTAAGACTAAATGGCCTTTAGTGAATTATTCAATAATTAAAAATTATCATCTGGAATGAAGAAAGACCATGAGAGGACAGCCTTGTTATATGCTGTATGACTACACAGAATGCCAATAGGCATGTATTCATAGTTGGTGAGGCAACACAACAGTAAAGAAAACAAAGCAATTCAAGCCTCTTGTTGACAATGATCTTGCAATAGGGAGTCATAGAATTGTAGAATGGCTTGGCTTGGATGATCCAGTTTCAGTCCCCCTGTGAATTGCCACCTGTTAGATTAGAGAAAGTATAATTTTGTACCCAAGAAGTTCAAGAACAGAAAAGATCTCTGTGCTTTAAGTACCCTCAAGGAGTAAAGGACAAGTGATACTTTCATATTAACTTAGCCAATTGCGAAGTCTGAACCACATCTGCCCTTCTCAACATTGCTCTGCTGGTAGAAAGCAGTCTGCACATCTGTAATGTCCAACTAAGACAGTTATAAAACTGTTCTGCTGCCATTTCTTCTCACGATAAGTTAATGGACTTGTAACCATTGTTACGTTTTGCAACAGGAAAAGTCACAGCAGAAATAGAAAAAACAGAATTTATGGCTATAATCTGCTATAAGGCAAAGTATTTTCCCAAATTCCACGATACAGATTTCATTTGAAGGAAGAAGAACAGAGATTCTTGAGTATTAGAAGGGCATATTCACAAATATCATACTATAAATAAATGGTGAAACAGACCTCAGTGTACATGCTCTATTAATGTATTTATATGAGTACCAGGGAGTTCTGAAACATAGAACCACTTTGTCAGCAGTGGAAGACAAACACTTCATTTCCCCCTCCCACAAATCACTGCAGCTTTTGTTTGTTGAATTTAGTTCCCTCTTCCATCACTAGTTTGAAGGTGAGGTTTGTTGTCACTTCAGTGTGTGAAGCAGAGAACACAACTGCAGTGCAAAATGTCTGGTTGCAGTTTCATTTCCCTGTCCTATTTTTCTCTTTCAGAAAAGTCTGCAAACATCACCACACCTTCAGCAAAACGTAAGTTCTGATTTCTTATTTCCTCTTTAACAGAAACAAAACAACCAGTACTGCTATGAGTTTCAGTCTTAAATTAAAGCTAGACCCCTAAAATGATCATCTTCCTAATGATGCCATGTGCATAATCCATAACAACATTCATTTCTAGACTCTAGATTTACATATGAATCAATCAGAAAGCTTTTTAGTTCTTTTTGAATACTGTGCAAATACTACAGAAAAAAGAAGACGAAAAAAGACCTTAATCTTAGAATGCATTGGATGTTTATAGCTATGCTTTAATTTTGACCCTTTGTTTGTTTCTGTTGGCCCTGTGCTATTTATCATTCCTCAGCAACACTTTTCCACACAGTTTTCATTTGAGTATCTTCATACTTGCTAATATGTCCCTGGAGATGGTTATCTCATGACATGCTGTACCAAGATAAAGAATGTTTTAATTACATTAAGAAGCCAGTTGCATCAGAAAGAACAAATGCTAAAATCTCCAGTCAAATATTACCCTATGCTAATGCATGTTAATGCAGTTTTAGATGCCTCTACTAAGTCAAAAGAACATGGAAAAAACAAGACACTGCACATTATTTATGCTTCAGTACCCGTGGGTCTGTGTTGTCCATTCATCTTCATATGCGTGTTTTGGAGTCTAAGGAGGTACTATGGTGAGCAGTTTTAACATATAATATTTTCTTACTGTGTATCTGATTCCATAGCTTAAAGTTTCACTGAAGGCTTAATGAAAATCTGCTAATAATTATCCCAATTAATTGTCCTTGTCAAGTGTGCTGGTTAAAATAATGAATCTTCAAAAAGTTTCATGTTTTTTTTTTTCCTTTCAGAGAGACAAGTGTGAAAGTAAAAAGCAAATAAAATATACAGATTTTATAATAGTTGGAATTTTTTCTCCTTTTTTTTTTTTTTTTTAATGATCAAGTTATAAATGAGTAAGGCTGTTAGTCACATAAATGCTGTCAAATTCTATTCAGTTGCATTCCCTCTGAGCTATCAAATAGTTACCATATTAATCTCTCATGTTTTACAGGAACTCTTACACAGGTGCCATGCTCTAAGTCAAGAGGGGATCCTGGAGTCCCCCACATCTTATTAAGTGAAGCAATCAATTATTTGTTTTCTCATGGAATGGCTTAAGGATTTTTCCATACCTTTTCTTGCCATTTCACTGCATAGAAAGACAACTAGCCACAAGTACAGCAGGAATTTATCTGCTCCTATTCAGAGAAGCTCTGAGGAACACAGAAACACATTCTATAAGAACATCGTTTTATGCTGATTATCTTTTGGCAGTAATACAATTCCCAAATATACTGTGGAGATAGATTTTTATTCTTTGAGGGGCACTCAATAAGGCAAGGGCTGCTTCGGTAATCTATACTCCTCTGTGAGCAGAAAGGCATCTTCTCAATGCTGATTGATTGAAACATCTTTTTTTTTTTCTTCCTAGGAAATCATAAGAGAACTCCATCAACACCACAGAGACAAGAGAGCCAGGTATGCTTAAATTCTGCCACCACTGAAACCTGATAACGTCCAGTATAACCACATGCTGAAAATAAATTTTTGGATAGTGTAAAATGTGGAGTAGGATTGGAGACAGTTGTGGTACTTGGAAAGAATGGCTTCCCTGGCATGAGATATCACCTTGTCTGAGCTGAAGGGAAAGAACTCAGTGTTTTTGCCACAAAGGTTCTTCAAGTATCTAAACTCCTTTTAAAGTGCATTAATTTGTAAAACCATTCCAGTAGGAATTTAGGCATCTAAAGCACCTCTGTTGACCTGGTTCTGACTACACAAGACAAAAAGTCACCTGCAGGGTCAGGAAAATGATTGAGAAGAAGGGCTTTACTATGTGACTAGCACAAATTCAGACAATTCTTGCAATAGGTACCGAGAAAATTAGATGAGCAGAAGGGAGAACACAAAAGATGCGACAGGCGCTGGCAGCAGTCACTCACAAAAAAGGCTGTAGTAGGGATCAAAAGGCACCAAATGGACTGTAGTGCTCCTGAAAGACAAGGTGGGGGAAAGAAAATTGAGAGCAGCATGTTCTAAGTGGTTGGAAAAAATTGATAGCAAAAGAGGATTTCTTTAAAGAGAGACAGATTTATAGAGGAACTTGCAGATTTGGGAGAAGAGAGATTTATTTGGAGAATAATTTAAAGAAAAGGGAAAAAAAAGTAATAGGTCAGAGATCTGGAAATAGGAAAATAAGGGCAATCAGAAAGATATTTTGGGGTTTGGAGGGGAAAATGAGGATTTAATAGGCTGAGAAAGAAGAGCTGAATGAGTGTCATAGAAGAGCTTTCAAGAGGATAAATCAGCTTTGCCTTAAGTTGAAATCATGCAGGGAAAGACACAACTGAGTTTGGGAAAGGAAGTGGAGGAAGACTGGAGATGCGAGTATGATTTCTAGCTTATTTCAAAGATCAAAAGAAAATCCAGTGATCAGTTGAGTCCAATGCACCCATCTTTAAAAGCAGTTTTAAAGGAATACAAAACCAACAGAATCCTACCCACTTCTTATCTAGCAAGAGCACAGGCATAGCCAGACATGCATAGAGCTGTATCCTGTTCTGTCTTTTGCAGGTCAGAAGTCCATCAGCTTTTCCATCCCATGCTGCTGGGAGAACTCCAGCTACAGATGTAAGCTCCTCACTTTACTGCTCCATGTCTAGCCCACCTCAGCTCTTGCCTGTCAACAAGATTTATGACAGCGTTCCTCACTGTAATGCTCAGGAGACAGCATCTAACTCACCTCATAATGATCCTTCACTTGAAAACCAAGATGTCCTCATATATGCATCACTAAACCATTCTGCTTCTACAAATAAATACCAGAGAAGGAAACTCCCTATAGAAAATGAATTTATAGAATATGCCTCTATTAAGGTAAATAAATAAACATGGTAGAGTTCACCAAACAGCCATTTTGTGCGCAGTCTCAGGTTTATCTTCCCTCCAGAATACCTTTCCTTTCTTTCCCAGGAAAACTTTCCTTTTGTTTAGAAGAACCTGTGAATGCTCCCCCACTACAGACAGGAATTCAAAACACAGCCTGTGTCATGCAGATGGCTGGGTATTCGTCTCTTAAATGGCGGAATTAAAGGAAACACAGCCAGCTTTCCTGTTCTTCCTTTGCTCAGGATTCTGCTTCCAGCCTGACCTTTTGTCGTGGTTTGAACAGAGGCAAAGGGGAGGAGAAGGGAGGGCTTTCTCAGGTCATAAACTTGTAAAACGAATCCATGAGGAAGATGATAATGAGCCAAATTAATTCCTCCAAAGTAAATACTAAAAATACGCGGGGGAGAAATTTTCTCTGAGGTTCTAAGAACGCCCTTACCAAGATCCTCCTTCTCGTTCCACTTTATCTCCTTGCAAAGTTCCTTAAAATCATGAAGACATAATCCTCTTATTAACTGAAATCATGTAAATACTTTTGCTTGTTTGTTTCTTGTGGGCAACAGGCAATAAGATGGAAAATAAAAGGTTGTTGTCCTTTTATTAAGAAATATTAAGAAATATTTCGCATAAATAATGTGTGAAAATACATAGAGTGTTCTCTTTTTTTCCTCCTGGTGTGATGACTGATAAGCTAAGTTAATGCATACTGCTTTTGTCCACGATGAGTCTATGGAAATAACAAATGCTGAGCAGTGACTGACCATAGTCAAAATAAAAACATTCTGTTCATGAGTAGCTGTGCACGCCTGCGCCAGGCCAAGCTTTCCTCCCATCACTGGCACAAGAACACGATTATGCTTCAAGCTCAGGGAAAGAAGATAAAAAGGAAGTAAGGACCAAAGTGTCATTTGAATTTTGAGGAGAATGCTCATGCAGTTCTTTTGCAGCACTCATTTCATTGTAGTTTGGATATCATGCATCTGCTCCTGCAGCTCAATACTCTGAAAAATTACATTTAGCATTGTCTGCACCAAGAGATTTGCAGAAGCAGAGAGTCTTCAACATGGTTAAAAATTCAGACCACAGTTGAAAAGGAAGAGAGGATCAGTTCTCAGTGTGCATATAATGCACCAGATTCTTTGGAGTTAATGGAAGGAAGTCAAGCTTCTTCATCTCTTACCCTGGCATAGTTACAGTTAACACTAAAGTTTTTATCGGATACACGTTAACCCTGCTATGTTGATAATGAAGATCATTTGTTATGCTTGTTGCACACTTGTCTTCCACCCATCATGCACTCTACTCTGCCCCAGAATTATGCCCATGTGACTGAGCGCTAAAGGAGGCCAAGCACAGCTGTGAGAAGTACTGCACAGCCACCAGCTGCAATGCTAAAAAAAATCTGAACATGCTGTGTTCCACTCTCAGATCAAGGCCAAACCATGGTTTAAGAAGAGGTCCTCAGAGATCGAGGGTTGGTTTGGAAGATGAGATTTTTGTAGATCAACAGGAAGCACCTCGCCACTTCACTGTCAGATGTGCCAGTATAGAAAAGCAAAGCACCGGAGCTTACAGTTGCTTTTTTTTTTTTTTTAATCAAAACCACTGAAAGTCTATGTCTTTTGAAGTAAAGAAACAAAAGGTGCTGACTGAAACTGCCATTTAAGGTGCAACATCTGCCAATTCAGGCACAAATAATCCCATCAGGTCAATAGTTTTCATAGTCTTTTGAAAGAAATAGAAGAATTGATATTTTTCCCAGTGCAGATAAACTGCTCAGTGGATAGAAGGTCTGCGTACCACGGCTAGTGGGCATGGTGGTGATGGGTTGACAGTTGGACAAGATGATCTCAGCAGTCTTTTCCAACCTTAATGATTCTATGATTCAGTAATTTCAAAAAAGGACTTGCATGTTCATCCCAATCACCCAGTGCCCCTCTCAGTGATGTTACACATGAGACATCACACCTAACAGCAGTTGTGTTAAAGCCCAGTGGATGGACTTTGCACACTGCAGAAAACAAATAGCTGTAACCTGCTTTATGGGGAATGTACAACACCTGTGCACCCTCTGTAAGTCATGGTCTGATAATCTCCAGTTTTACCAGGTGATTTGCTACTTCTTGATTCTCTTTTGCTATTTTTGTACTGAATACGTTGCATGGGTACAGTCATACAGGAAGCCCAAAGAATACAAAGCTGGGTGTCTGTCAGTTAGACCCACACACCCAAAGGGAAGGAAAAGAGTAAAGTCTATGGAGCTGAAGGTCTGTTAATGCACATTAATATGCTGCATCATGATCCAGCAGCATTCTTTTTGTATGGGAGGCAGATGCAGCTGTGGTATCCAGTTCCTACCTCCCAAAGTAACCTGTATAGCACATAAGACCCTTACAAGCCTCGATGGAAGGAGTGGGCTCTTGGGCTGTAAACACGTCAAGTCTCCTAGTTTCACTTTCTTTGTTTATACCCTCCACCTCTGAATCTTGCTTGTTTATGAAGCAAAAATAAAAGTAATCATGTGAGGCTTACTCATTTGTCAGCTCCTGGTCCCTAAAGCCTATCAGATGGGACTGCTCTTGGCAAACCACACACTTTGCCATATTATCAGGTCAAACAACAGCTTGCCAAGCCCCGCTTCTCTAATTATCTGTTTTTGCAATATTTTCACCCACATCACCACAAATATCCCAAGGCCCATTTTGCATCGTAAGGTGAGCAGGCAGTGAGGTGAGTGCAGAAAGAAAAGTTACAGCAATAGTTACATGAAATCTGAAGTTTGCACTTCTGTGAAAAAGGCATCACCTTGCATCACTTGGTTTCCTGCTGTTACCCCCCTAAAAGAGTGTGCAGGCTGGATGTGGCTCAGGGCAGCCTGATCTAGTGGTTGACAACCCTGTCCGTGGCAGGGAGGTTGAAACTAGATTATCATTGTGGTCCTTTTCAAGCCAGGCCATTCTGTGATTCTATGAGTCTATAAATGATAGGAGTCTGCCCAAAGAAAAGTCTGCCCAAACCCAAAGAAACATGGTGTACAGTGTGTTTGTTCTTTGGTTCTCCTGAGTCACTCCCCTTAGGGCATGCTGAGACTGCACTGCAAGCACTGCTAAGGCCACGTCCTCTGGAAGAAGAGGGGTTGCACAGACTGATGGCAACGTGGGATGTTTTGAGATATAGCACCAAGCTCCACATCACGACATTGCTGTCAGCTGGGACCTTCCCACCTTCCAGACAAGTGCTAATGTTTCCTGGGTCTCCCTCTATCCCACATCCTTGTCAGGAACAGGGAACACAGGCCTAGAGCTGAGCTTTGGCACCAGCCCACACCACCAGCCCATGTGCACAAGAAGGTTGAGGGGAGAGGCAAGTATTCATTTCCGTGCCCAGCCTGCTCTCCACCCTGCTCCTTGCAGCAGGTTCCCCATTCTGTGATCTCCACAGCTCTGCTTCTGTAGTCCATTTCAGATCAAAAATGCCATCCCAAAGATAACAGGAACCAGATACAGGAAGAAGTGCTCAGATGGTGCCAGGAATGAGTCAGGAGGAGGTCTTGGAAAGCAGGAGAGGCAGGAGAGGGTGCAAGGAATAGGGTTCCCAAGGAAGACCACCAGAGCCTAGAGGACAGCAGAGCTGGCTACAGAGCTTTATATGGAACGAGCCTCGTCCCCTCAGTACAGACAGTGATTTGCAAGATGAACAACCCTTGGTTTTGTGTGAGTTTTAAACAACAACTACTATTTTCAATGAAAAAAAAAAAAAAAAGCCTAAAGAAAATGCTTAGGAACCAGCTGAACCAAGCCCTCAGGCTGAATATTTCCAACTGCAAGGGTCAGTTGGTTGTGGCATGCCATCAACATCATACATATCCTTTCAGTTTTACATAGGTGATCTTCCCATGCCCTTTTTACATTCCTAACAGCAGCAATTCACTACCTAGCCTGAACCCTAATTTCAAATTCTTATTCCCTTTCCCGCTTCCCATAAGTACACACATCTCCAGGAATCTCCATGCTATAATGGCATGGAGCTGCATCAGGGGAGGGTCAGGTGGGAGTTAGGGACAGGTTCTTCACCAGAGGGTGGTGGCGCCCTGGAACAGGCTGCCAAGTGGGAATGGCTCAGAGCTGCCACCTTTCTGGACACCATTCTTAGACCTTGGGTTTGGATTTTGAATGATCACATGTGGAGTCAGGAGTTGGAGTCAGTGATCCTTATGGGTCCCTTCCAGCTGAAGATATTCTCTGATTCTATGAATCTATAGTTACTGTAGTAGGATTAAATAAATGGGGGAAAAAAAATCAATACTGGAAACATTGTTAAGAGACTTAGCTTCTAACTATTATGAATCTTGGTTTGTGAAACAGAGGACTTCATATTATCACAAACTTGTATTGTTAATTATACATGTTTTGTGTGATTGATTTTAGTCTTCATATTGAGAGGTGATTCACTTGGTCATTTGAAATTTGGAGCACAAAATATGCTGGGCATGAAATGTCATCAGCCTCATCTGGGAGTGATCATTTTGCGCCAGTTCTAGAGTAACATTTCTGCCTTAAGTTAGTGATGTGGCAGGTAAATTTGCATCCGAGTGGCTTTTACTTACAGGTAAACCAAATTTTCTTTGCAGATGAGAGCATCCTTTACTTCTTTCTATCTGAAATATTGTGGCTTATAATATCTTTTGTGGACTACTTGCCCCCCCACCCGCACCCCAGTTGGGGTAGCATCCATAGGAAAGCACATCTACCGCATGCATAACATTTGTGCAAGCAGCCAGATGCACTGACATGTATCTAATGATGGAAAGATGGAACTGTGACATGTTTCATCAGATCTCAGCATCATTCACTTCAGTATGGCCAGAATCTGTGGAGCTACTTCATCTGATACCTGCCTGTGAGTAAGCGTGTATGTCTTACAGTTAGCTGTTCCTCAAACAGAGCTTAGGATAATCATAAAACCATTGCTCAGATTTCTGGGTGTAGTCTCAGAGGCTGAACAGATCACATTTGTTTTCTGTTCTCTAACCTACACTAGAACAATTTCAGTCTTGGTTTAAAAAAATGTATAAAAAAATAATTTAAAAAGGCATTGTTGACTTTCAGTGTGCACTGAAAAACTCACCTACATTTTGGCATATGTGGATTACAGTAAGGATGGTGAAGCAGAGGTGACACCTGCTAAATCACTCTCTTCCTTTCTAAAGCTGTTTATCAATAAGAAATCTCCCACCTAAACTTCACGTTGCAGATGTAACACTATTTTCACAAATTCTGCAGAAAGGCTAAAACTTTATGGAAATATCATTTCCTCTACACTTAATAACGTGACATAAAATAAAAAAAACAGCTTTTAGCTTTCTTTGTTCATGCCTTAGTCATTGACAGCCGGGGTTTTCTGGAAGAAGTGGTAACTTCAGTAAATCCTCTGTTTTCTCAAGAAAATCATGAAGCCTCTGTCACAGTAGGAGAGCAAGAGGAACACTCAACTAATGAAGACTGTGGTTACAGAGGCACTATCAGCACCCCAGCTGGTGACGTCACAGTTGCCTAAAATGGTTGGCTATCATGCTCAGAGGCTGAAAAACCCGGTGATCCACCAAGCTTCCTTTTCTCTGTAGTCTGGCAGCAGACTCTACTAAAACACTGGTCTCACACTGGAAGTATGTGATGGGAAGTAATGTGTGCTTTGATTTTAGACACCCACTTATCTCGATGAAACAGAGGTTGAACAGAAACAGCATTTGGTGCCTGTGCAATGCTCTCATCTTCCAGTTTGGTTTCTCTTCTCTCTTGGAAAGACTTCAGAGATGTAAGCCTGTGAAACAGAAACAAATGACAAAACAGTCAAGAAAAACTGCGAAAGTACTCTGGCTGACCTCACATTAAGGAAGAGGGTGCCAGGAAACAAACTCAGAATAGAAGTGAACAAAAGTAGAGGAAAAATTCTTCCCTGAAATCCTGTGGAACTCATGTTTCTTTGCAGTAGTTGCCTAGTGATAAAGCCCTTGCTGAAGTGCAGAGTTTCACAGAGATATGCAAGCTGATAAATGCACAGGGAGAGATTTGAACTGTGTCACAGAGGTGCAAGTCTTCTTTTCTGCTCTTCTGATGAGTTCTGCAGCATCTGTTTGTAAGAGAATACTCGGTATCAGAATTAGCACAGCTGAATGTTTCACCAGTACAGAAAGCCCTGGGAACTTTTTCCCTAGTAAAAAAGAGAAGAAACGTAGCTCATTCTTGAAGTAACTTTTGTAACACATAGCCTGAAGTACAAAAATGCACTCATTTCATATATAGGAAATATGAGCATTAACTGCCTGGAAATTAGACAATTTCTGGCTATCAGTTCCAATAATGAAACAAAACTGCCTTCCTGAAAGCCATGTGCACACATTCCTGGCTCTTACACTAAATATGATACATCTATTCTTGAGAAAGTCACTGAGGCCTATGCTTAGGATCTCACATCTGAGTGGCAAGAAGCCCTCTGGTCAGCACTTCAGCTGGAGTCAACTTCAGAAGCACATGAGAATGCTCAGGGCTGGGTGCTTTTTAACACTCCATCTTTACATCTCCATCTGTAAAGTTA